TGTGTTTTGGATGGTTACATCTATGTTGTTGGTAAAATAACCATAATATTGTGCGCTTGAGAAACCTCAAAATGTAATGGTTCAGGGATTAATTAACTTTACAGAGTACAGTCCTTCTTGTGAAACTAATGGTATGCTAAGCCAATCAAGAAATTCCCCATATTTTATGAAACGTGAAGGCTCATGACTGAGTCAGCTGAATCCATTTCACCCCTCTAACTCTATTGCCATAAAGTCCATTTTAATGTTAATCTCTCACTTATGCTTATGTCTGAGTGATCTTCCCTTCAGCCTTTCAGAACAAAATTCTGCATGCATTTCTCACTTCCTGATGTGTGCTGCATGCTCTGCCTGTTTCATCCTTCTTGATGTGATCAGTATTTGGTGAAGAGCACAAATGATTAGAGGATTAAAGAAGAGAAAGTGACCCATCTATTTTTTCATTGGCAGGAGGATGGCATGCTTCAACAGAAAACACCAACAAGATTGAACGTTACGATGTCCAGTCGAATACATGGGAGTTCAAGGCTTCCATGCGTGAAAGGAGGTACAGGCCAGGTACATATCACAAAAATAACAGCGGTAAGGACACAGAATTTTATTAGATAAACATGTTTGGAAAGTGTATACCATACCAGAATACACATAACCTCACATGATCTTTGCAACGTGCATTTAGATATATTAAATCTACCTTCTTCAATAGTTCCGACTTAGACCAACAGATTGCAGCATCTCATTGTCTACTGTAGGCATGAGGCGTGTCTAGGTTCTTTGTTGTTAAGGTTTAGTGCTGTTCATGAAAACTAGCTGCCACTACACATATTCATTCACAAAACTGTCCATGTTTGTGGGATTAAGAAGTGTGGAATTGCATATTTTCCTCAGATGGAACTTAGAAATAAAAATAATAAGACAACACTTCTGTAGTAAGAATATTACATAAATGTTTACTGTCCCCACTCAAGTCAAGAATCTAACTCCTGTGCACCTATTCAACAATTAAACGCTCATCAGTCTGCCTCAACAAGCCCAAATTCTGTTCACAATGCAGAACTACCACTTACTTGACAAATCTGTGGCAGTTACCTGGAACCTTAGGACTTTCAACTCCATTGATTTGACAGTTCTCTTGGTGATTATGTCTGGACTGTTTGCTGCCAATATCTGATGCACCAGTCTCTCTACTGCTTCCACGTAACAAAAATGATGATCTGCAATTTATAATGTACTGATTTTCAGTTATCCAGAGATGTCAACAGTCTTTGTATACTGGGATACTGGGAACGATCCATTCTTCAAGTGCCTGAGCACTGCGGGTCCCAACTTTTCATTGGCTTGATCTATAGACATTCGGTAGGACACCTTGGACGAGGGATCAGCCCGTCGCAAGGCCTCTACCTGTACACAGGACAGCACAACTCAGAAAAATGCAGACAAACATCCATGGCTTGAGTGGGATTCAAACCCACGGTCCCAGCGACCAAGTGGCAGAAGACCCACGCCTCAGACCGCGCGGCCACTGCGGACCCCGTCTTTGTATACTGAAGTGTTAATGACACACCAAATTAATGTTTCAATTACCGACTCCCACCTCCGCCCATTCTTGTTCCTCATATAAATGTGTCTGAAGAAGATTATGAAATACAAATTAACAAACAGAAATCAAGTTCCATTGTGAAATAGATTTCTGATACCTTCTTTGATGAAAATTAGCTTGCTCTATTGAAACTTGGTGTTTTTGTTAGTACAGTGCAACAACCCAGAGGACAACCATCTTCATGTCTAATCATGTTTTCATGAAAATGTTACAGAATACACTTTTGAACTCCCTTTTTAGTACTGAGAAAGATGAATTCACTGTTTGTATATCTCACTAGAGACCATTACCCAATTAGTCACTTCTTTTTATTTCAGGAGTAGCAGTCATAGACCGTTGCATTTTCGTACTGGGTGGTGAGGAGGGTTGGGATCGTTATCATGACACAATAGAGTGCTACTCTGCTGATAGTGACACCTGGCAGCTGACGGGAGACATGCCAACTTCTAGGTCATGGCTTAGCTGCGTCCCACTTCAAGTAAGAAAACCACTGTCCCATTGTTGCTAACCAATGGGTATCATCATCCTAGCAAAGACTGAAAAGAAGTATTCATAGGCAGTTAGTTGTATGTGCTGACATTTAACCATTTCCAGGGTTTGAAACTATGTGAATTTTATCATTTTAATAAAAGACCTGTAGTAATACTCAGTATATCTGTCATTAAATGTCTTTTCACTTTTATGATAACTACTGACCCATTGTAGATAGGCAAGTTGAATTTTATACAATAATTGTTACATCCTATAAATTATATATACAATTACAGGCCAAGTGACTAAATTTTGAGATTATTCTTGACAATTTTCATGTATTGTAAATCTGTACTGCATGAAAATATACACAAAAATAGGTAAATGATCATGTTAGAATATTCCCTGAACTGAATGTTAAAATTTCTTCAATTGATGTTGTATATGAATGTACTTGTAAAATGCCTGCTTTACAGTGTTTAAGAGTTTTATACTTTAATTTGATACATCTACTGAAATGAATTTAGAATCATTATTCAGTGCCCTTTATACGTTTGACATTGTAAAATAAACATGTTATCAATTGTTTCACATTTAATTATTTTTTCAAAATCTGTGTGAAAGCTGTTATATTATTTTCCTTGACTTTATAAGATATCAGTAGGCCTACCAACATTCAGTCTTTGGGTTTTCTGTGGTGTTGATTACATTTTTTCAATACCCTTATTTGTTAACAAATGATAGTGGGATAATTAAAGTATAATAACAAGTAGTTTGAGCACTGTCTGCAATATAAGAGAGGTAGGACTTTTGAAATGAGACAAAAGAGTGAAAATCTGCATGTTGTTTACAAAGAAGGTAGTAATCAAACCCTGTTTTTGTGATCACAACAATTATTTGTGTCCACTGGAAATTAATATACATGCACACCCAAAGATAAATACATACACAGCCCTACTATTGTTTATTTAGAATCAAAAAGAAAGGGATGATGGAGGACTGAGCATGTTATTTTTAAACCTCATGTATGAGACTCACAAAGCTAAATGATAAGATTCTATACAATGTCTTTCAAGGGATTTAGTTGTAAGCTGCAGGATTGATTTCAGTGATTCAATAAACATTCAGTCTGTATCCCTCTCACTCCATTTCCATACATCTTCCAAGCATCTCCTCCCTTCAGGTTTTCTAACCAAAATTTTATATGCATTTCTTGTATTCTCCATATGCATAACAAACACCTTTTATCACACACACACACAGATACTCAATATTGCCATGATCTTAAATGATTTCTGAGGTCATTTATACCCTAATAATGATCAGGACTTGTGTAGTTATTTCCAACTCCTAAATTTATATCTTTACAAAATACAGAGGAAACAAGATATCTCCATTTCAAGACTGCATTTCCAATCAGAAAATCAGTTTCATGTTGTTAAGTGTGCCCCAAGTCTCTCTGCTATGTAAGGCATTTTTAAATATAAAAATAATAAATTGGTATGATGTATCAAGTAACCTCTAATATAGCTTGCAACAGCATCTAGTGTAGAATCTATGCATTCAAAGAGTCTTATGGTGATGAACCTTCAAATCTGGTCAGTCAGACATTTAACCACCAAGGACACTGGTGAATATATGGGTTTTCCTGCTACAGTGACAATTCTTCTTGTCTTGTACTTACAAACATGTCCATTGCTCTGAGTTACATTCAGAACCTCTGTGTTTGTCAGATGAGAAGGAATCCTTTAAAGGAGAATGAGTCCTGACATGAGAAACTTCTGCAAAAACAGCAGCAGCAACCACATCCACCACCAATCCGTAACAGTCCATGTCTCCTGCGTCTTCTGTGGACACTTGTGTGAGGGCTCTCGAGTCTGGTCCAATGTTTGTACATGCTACTGTGGGTTCCTGTTTGACGCTGAAGAAAAGTAGTACAGGTTTGTACAGCATTTACAAGAAAACTAATTCACTGCCATGATATATACTGTAATGAAGTCATCAGTTTTGTAGTGCTTGAGAGCTAATCTCTTCTTACAGTACAATGCTAGTTATCCAGCCCTTGCTCAACTACATTGTTTTTAACATGCATAAAAGTGGTAAGCATTATTGCACCACTCTTATTTTTATTTCTACATTGATTTTTATAAATGTTCAATGAAACACTTACATAAAATATTCTGCTCTAAGGGGCCTCTCTTGTTTAAGACAAGGTAAATGGACTGAAGAGAGCCCGAATACAAGAGCCCCAGACTGAAAAATATAACCTGTTACAACTCCAATTTTAACCAGTCTATCTTCAGACACTTCCTTTTTGTTTTTCTTATACTTTGATTTGAAAAAACCCTCTGGCATAATATCATTGTTATTACTGTTGTTAATTCTTTTGTCACTACAGATAATCATGGACAAAGCTAAACTGTAAACATCCATCTTATATAACTAAAACAAGAATATGTGAACCACCCTTTCATTTATACAGTATTACTACAAATTAAAATCCAAAATTACCCATTAAACACACAGTTTTAGGAGTTCTTTATGAAAAATTAATCACATCCATCCACAAATTAATACAGGTGATCATTCAATAGACACTTAAAATTTGACAGTAGTTATACCATATGTAGGTGGTTACTCCAATAAATTTATCTTTGCATATTCTCATTGCAGGAACAATGAATTGTTGTCTGAAAAGGGCTATTATCATTAGTTTTGTAATCACAGAATCATTGTAAACCTAGATAATCTACAACTTGCAGAAATTAATGATTAGCTAGAGTGGGAAATTAGAAATATGCCTACACAGTTTTGGGCTCAGAATGAATTCACATATGCTTATTTAAAATCCATTTTAGATTGGTGCAAGAGTGTAAAGTGGATTGTTTTATAAAACAAGCTGTAGCATAACATTATACAAGGTATACACAAAAGAATGGTGCAGTTTCAAAAGTTAATAAAAAAATTATTTCTCTCCTTACACGGGTATGTTGTGCCCGTGTAAGGTGAGAAATACATTTTTTATTAACTTTTGAAACAGCACCATTCTTTTGTGTATACCCTGTACATTTATTATTGTGGCTGTTTTTCATGTGTAATCATTGAATCCCACTTCCAATGCCTGTGTTTATATAATACATATTTAAAAAAAATAAGATGTGAATATTCATCAAAGTTATAAATGTCAATCATTGTTAGTAATTCAATAAAGTGTAATCATTTATGAAAACTGTAAGTGACAGACTGTAATTACAGAACTTCTGAAGACATAAGTGAAAAGTGGCATATGGGTTATGTGTTGCATAGCTAATCTGTTAGACTACTGATGACATAAGTGAAAAGTGGCATATGGGTTGTGTTGCATAGCTAATGTTAGACTACTGACTAGTTATTACCGCATATACATTATGGTTATAAAAGTGCTGATACTTCCAAACACCCAAGAACTGAACCATGTGCATTCCCTTTTGACTCTAAAACCAAATAGGCTATTCTTTGGATGAAAAAACACTGGCATGCATCACAAAGTTCATAATTTAAATTATTGTCACTATGTTGCTGTATGTTTATAGGTGACATGAGTATTTTATATATGTACTATGATCTCTTGTTATGTAAAAGTAAAGTAATTTTGTAATAAATGTGTTGTATATTCATGTAATAAATGTTTAAACCAAATATAAAAAGTGCTGTACTCTTTTGTTTTGACAACTGGTCATTAGGGTTCTGACCAATGTTTCAAAGGAACAAAGTGCCTCCACCTTTTCAGCGTACTACGCATTGTAACAACCCAGAAGACCAAAATCAACATTTTTACCATTCTGAGAACCTCATATTTCATACTCTTTAAACTGTTTTCTGCATTTCCCTCACAGAAGACTTTAACCCTCTGAAAACATTTAAATTCACTATATCCTGAGACTATCAGATGAGTTATTTTAAATGCTCTATCTTGAATTTCATTAGGCACTGCATAAGGCTAAGCATAATGTTCTCAAAAACACATTCTCCCTTAAGTTGTGCCTGCCCTCTGCTTACCTGCATAACGTGAAGGAATCCATTCTCAGGTGGACAGCTTATAATCAGAATTCCACATAAATCTGATATGACAGTGATAAACATGATGTTCAGCTTGAGCAGACCAAGATCTTAACATGAGCTAATAACCACAATGATGGCCGGAGGCAAAGGATGAGGAAGGTACATGGAAAATTTCTCTCTGCATACAGTGAATCTCAAATCAGGACACCTTTAGCACAGGTCAGCATGAGATCCATATACCAAGAAACATTCTAAACATGATTAAATTAAAATTAGGATTGCATCACAATTCAGCAGACATGAATAACATGAAAAGAATCTCACACAATAATACAAATTTATCTCTACTAAGAAATCATATCTGGGATGTTCCACTATGTATTTACTAGACTACATAGTACAACATCCCAATAAACATCTGTCTTCACGCTCATTGCTAAGAGAACCTAAAAAATCTGGAGAATACATATACTTCGACTTTTCGTATTGCACTGGATAAAAACCTTAGTCTAAATGTACTGTGGAGATTGGCTGCAGAATTGAGAGTGAAAACTTTGCTATAAGATGACAGCAGCAAGCCCTACATTACAACTTTCTTTGACTGATGGCTGTACCAAGTACAGGTCTGTAAGGTAAAAAAAATGCAGACTTTAAAGAAAATTGTAGGGTTTGAGGTTTTCATGGCGTTGTGACTTGGGTGGTGGTCTTTTGGGTTGCTGCATTATGTAGTCCTGGCTGTATACCACCATTTTGGAAAACCCACCTCCATTTTCAAGGAACTAGTTTTCCATATGAAAACAAAATTAGTCTTGTACAAAAATTTTCATACAGAAAAAATGAGAGGTGGGAAGATGGACAAGGTTTAAAACCTGATGGTATCTGCTCTCTCTGTGATGTAATTCTTCCACCCTAATTAATGCAATTAGGAACACTGTATTAAGTAAAAAGCAATATTGGTAACATTAACCATTTACTGACATTAAGCTAGACACTGTTTTTATACAGATGTTTAGCTAAGAAACAGACTGTTTTAAATAATGTAAAAAATATGTAGTGATACAATCATAATCTTGGGATTTAATTGCCATTTGTGTACCACTGTTTTATATTCCAAATAAAGCAGAAATTAAGTGAGAAATATATTCCAAGCTCAAGCTGTTAATTAGTAACAGCAGCCAGTTATGATTTTCACCACCCATGTGATGGCCCCCAGAACAGTCATCTAATTTTCAAGTCACCCTTTGTAGATATTGAGACTGATATGCCTGCATTAAGCCATGAAGATCTATGGGGGTGTGGAGGAGCAACAAATTCTTACTTTGACCAAACTGAGTACTCAGCTTCACATTCCCACTGAATACTGAAATACCATAACAGGAGTACTTACACAAACAGAATGAACACGATTATTTGATTGAACACAATCCTGAACTCCTCCTGATACCTTGTAGATCCTACTAGAGGTAAGTCAAAATCACTCTTACCAGATTTTCCATCTTAGTTTAACAGTTTCATCCTAAACATTTCACCTAGACTCAACCATAACTTGGCCTTGAAGCTCAATGTACAAAATTACCACTCTTCATCAATCACAGTATATTCATTCATGATGTGTGCTCCTGTACCATTGTCATGCCAGTCTTCAGCAAACTAAATTCACTCACAAAAATATCAGTGTTCACAGGATCTAGGTTCCTCACTGCTCGCAAATAAATGTCACTCACTTTCTTAGCATCTCCTAAATTTTGCTCAAACTTGATATATTCCATCCACACACCTGCAAGAAATAACCACTGCATATAATAATGAAAAAAAAGCATACATCTATCCTCAAACAGAGGAAACTAAAATTGCGAACTTCACATTACATACACACACACATACATTCCATACATCCAGAAGTTAGTCAAACTAATGTGGAATAAGTCATGAGTACAATTTAAAATGTAATTAGTTTTACAAACAGTAAAGGTATAACACAAAAATATCAAAATGTTACACTAAATCCACTGCCATGCAGCAGATATATTAATTATGATAGTTTATATTATGTATGTACAATAACCTCTAAAAGGATTGAATGTTTTTCAAACTGTATGAGTTCAATAACAGAATAAAAGATGTATCTTTTTAATGGGTTTGAATTACGCAACTTGTAGGTACTGCATTCCACACATCACAAATGCATATAATTAGAAGGAATAATAATAATGAAAGAGATGTAAAACAGGTGGCAGACTATAGATCTGCAAATCTTCTCTCCTGGTATCACTGTCATGTCTTAATTAGAGTTTCATCACCATATACATTTTTTAATGCACGATCAAGACACATTGCAGGGATGCCTGCCCCCATCCCTCTGGATTTTTCCTTACCATATAACTCCAACTCTAACACAAGAAAATTTCTCAATCCACATCCTAAGGTTCAACCAGCTTGAACACTTTTGGTCCTCAGCTACATTTCACATCTGACTGAGAACTTCCAGACATACAACAAGAAACGTTTTTACAAATCTGACTAAATTTTGTAGTTTTTTTCAAAAGAATGTGCATGAGTCATGTTTAATTGATCTGTCACTCCCAGAAAATACCATGATTAAGAGCATCCACCCTGGTGAACAACTAGTGGTTACTGCTACCTTCTCAAACTATATACAATCCTTCTCTTGTTCTCTTATATTCTGTGTATCCAAACACATCAGCTAGGAACATGCGTACACCTAGAGCTTACCAGTATTAGTTTTTCCAAACTGATCACAGGCCATTTCATGACATCTGCGTACATATTTCAGATTCATATTAGACTGAACACTTTCTAAAGCAGCCATCTTGGTATGCAATTCCAAGCACAAAGGAGGCTGGATACACATTGACTGATACATTTTTCTTGCCGCAACAATACCTATCACGAATATCCAAACACAATATTAATATTAGGAACTGAGGAGACCAAATGAAATTTATGGATACAATATTATGGGAACAGACAACCAATCAAACTACAGAAGTAAACACAATGAACATTTAAGGTGTTCATTTACAAAAAAGTAGACACTAAACAATATACATATATACTAGTGATGTGCACACTTTTTTTTAAAGTTGAGTCAAGTTCAAACTGAACAGTATCAAACTTCTTTAGTTGCGGGTTGAATTTGAGTTTTTAAGTAAGAAATCACCTTTTATTAGGCCTGTTTTGTTGGACACCAAACAATACACTTCAGAATCACTTATAGCCAGTTGCATTGTGTGGGCAAGACAAGGTACAGAAATCCATTCCATTGCAGAGTGCTCATACCATGTTTATTATCAGTAACAATGTACAAAGGTATTGTACGTAGGGCAGTCAAAAAGTGCCCGGAATTGTGGTATAGCACTGTAATGGTAGGACATATGGCAATGCTTACCTAATCATCTTCAAAGTAGGACCCGTGCGCACACACACACTTGCTCCATTGATCCTACCATTGTTGGAAGCACCGGCGGAAGGCTTCGTTTGGAATCTTCCAGAGTTCAGCCGTCGCATTCGACTTGATGTCCTCCATGGTTGCGAAATGCGTCCCCTTGAGGCCCATTTTCAGAGTAGGGAACAGCCAGAAGTCACTCGGAGCGAGATCCGGAGAGTATGGTGGTTGGGTGATGACGGGAATGCTTTTCTCGGCGAGGAATTGCTGCACAACCAGCGATGTGTCAAAGTGTGTGTGCGCAAGGGTCCTACTTTGAAGGTGATTAGGTAAGCATTGCCATATGTCCTACCATTACAATGCTATACCACAATTCCGGGAACATTTGACTACCCCTTGTATACTGATAATCAACGTGTCTTTAAACTTCACAAAAAAGAAGATTCATACTAAGCTAAACACATAAAAATCTGTAAAAAGGCAACACTACAAATAACTGTTCACACATCACTGTTTTAAATTCCCAGATTTTAAAATACGTCAGTTGTCTAATCCTACATTTTAACTTTATAGTTAACTCACCTTTATACGAAACCAACCACTCTAAATACAGAGGTTTCAGAGGCACGGATATAGCAGGTTGTTGCATAATACCATCCTGGAACATTTGTTCAACTTTAAGCATGTCGTTTGTTTGGTAATACTGCAGCATTACCTTCCACAGTGGAAGAGCAGTCTCATTGTCACTTCCCAGTCTTGCCATAGCATCCTGAAACACTGCCAGACCAAGCTTCTCGTCATCTCTTGACAGATGAAAACAGAGGCGTACCTGCCAGAGCTCAACACTCGAAGGCAGCCTTTCAGTTGCTGTTCTAAGCACATCCTCCATCTTTTTTAAATTTCCTAGTGATTTCAACTTATCCACCTGGAACAGATTCCAGCTGTTTCTTAACATGGTAAGGAAAGTCGGTCAATAACGGGGAAAATGAATCATGAATTACCACAAAAACAACTCATTTCTATGTGGTACATTTTCAACTTCAATTTTTCTTGTGTATGTTTAACAATGTTATAAAAATGTCCCCAACTTTTCTAAACATATTTATACAAGTGTAAAATGTTTTAGTTTTTTTAAGGCAGTGTTTAAACACCATTTCAATTGGTGCTTCATTTAACAGTAGTCTTGAGTTTGTCAGAAATAACAACCGCTTACCCAAAGGAGGTAGTACTTCTCTTGCATACACCCAGCACTATGGGCACCTTCAAATGCATCTCTCAGAAGATTCCTCTTGAAATCAGGGAGATGAGTTAGGTCTTCATTTAACTCTACCAGCATCTCCAAATATAAAGACCACATTCTATCTGTCGGCAGCTGCTTTAATGCGGCTGTATACACTTCACAACACAGCCTGCATGACACAGAGAATGCAACTTCAGTTTCAATATTCACCCTGAAAGCTGAATTGAGCACAGTTGCTATTTTCTGAAACTTATTTACCCATTGTTTTCAAAAAATGGTTAGTATGAGAAACTTAATTCCATTTTCAGCATAATTGTGACTGTCATAAATGGATTCACTTCATTTAATAATACTGTAGAAAGTATATGATATTCATGAGAAAATTAGGATGAGACTAAATTCAGTTCAAAATATTTTGTCTTCCTGTCTGATTTCTAAGAACCAAAAGATTAAAATATACAAAACAATAATTTTGTCTGTTGTTTTGTATGGGTGTTAAACGAGGTATATTACTCTGGGAGGAACTAGACTGCAGGTGTCTGACAATACGGTGTTGAGGAGGGTTCCCTAAGCCCTCTAGTTAGTTAGCATAAAGTTTATGCGTTATAGTGGGATGCTTAAACACAATACAGGGGGAAGTATACCCTACACCATTATTGTAGGTAATGCTACTGACAGGTGGCATTTTAGCCCTATACAAGTCTTACTTGATTCTCTGCTTCAATAAGTAGCTCTCACTGTTCTTCATTGTATCTTCATTTGTTTCACTGGTACCTGGAGAGGCAGTCATAGGGCTACTCTCTTCCTGGGATTGTGTGTCTATATAGGTTAATCCTTCAAGCTCACGGTGAGCCACGGTATCCCACATCAGTTCATCATTTGAAAATGTGTCTCTCAGGTAACTGTAAGACAATTAATATACTTGCTTTTTAATAACTATCCCTTTGTTTCCACAACTTTCTTACAAATACATTAACTTATTCATTTACCTTCGGCGTATGACCCAAAATATCTGAAGAAGTGTCAGAATGATGCAGAGAAAATCATCATATAATCTAACTGGATGATACTGAGGAGGAAAGAACTGAATGAATGTTTCATCATTTACTAACAATAGTATTTCCATTCTTCCTGTTATTGTCCGCAAAGGGGGTTGGAGTGGTGAGGAAGAGGGAGACGACGAATGCGAGCCCGAAGCTTTGCCGAGTTTTGCCGAAGCGCACGCTGCATTGGCGAAAGTGAAGTTGTTCTTTTATGCGCTTAATATTAGTGAACGTGACGAGGAAAACATTTTGAACGTGGAAAGTGCTCTGTTTGGTCTAAAACGTAAAGTTTCGACAAACCAGTTGTCCATTAAAGACTTTTTTGGTAAAAAGAAGTAACTTTGAAAGAGAAACATTGTTTTTTTTTAAATTTTTAATGCTTTCCCGCATTCATCGTTTTTATTTCCCACCCCCGCCGAAAACGATGCATCGAGGTTTCACTGTATATTACTCTGGGAGGAACTAGACTGCAGGTGTCTGACAATACGGTGTTGAGGAGGGTTCCCTAAGCCCTCTAGTTAGTTAGCATAAAGTTTATGCGTTATAGTGGGATGCTTAAACACAATACAGGGGGAAGTATACCCTACACCATTATTGTAGGTAATGCTACTGACAGGTGGCATTTTAGCCCTATACAAGTCTTACTTGATTCTCTGCTTCAATAAGTAGCTCTCACTGTTCTTCATTGTATCTTCATTTGTTTCACTGGTACCTGGAGAGGCAGTCATAGGGCTACTCTCTTCCTGGGATTGTGTGTCTATATAGGTTAATCCTTCAAGCTCACGGTGAGCCACGGTATCCCACATCAGTTCATCATTTGAAAATGTGTCTCTCAGGTAACTGTAAGACAATTAATATACTTGCTTTTTAATAACTATCCCTTTGTTTCCACAACTTTCTTACAAATACATTAACTTATTCATTTACCTTCGGCGTATGACCCAAAATATCTGAAGAAGTGTCAGAATGATGCAGAGAAAATCATCATATAATCTAACTGGATGATACTGAGGAGGAAAGAACTGAATGAATGTTTCATCATTTACTAACATGAAATCAATATGTTGTGGTTTATTTAATGATGCTATCAGAAACTCAGACTATTTTATAAATATCAGATCAACTATTCAAGTTACATGGCAAAAGCAAGAGTACCAATATGAATGAGTAAACAATTGAAAGGTTGTCAAAACAGAAATTCAAGATAAAAACCTGCCCTGTTGATTGTAATGTGACAAAACTTATTATAACTAAAGAAAGAAATTGAAAACATGTGAATTATTACATTTTCTATGTGTAGTAAGTACTCATTATGATAAAAAAGTTACACTACACCTGCTGCACCATCAGAATTTTCTTACATTTAAAACAAAATTAGTTCTTATTATAAGTTGCTCTTGCAAAGTGTACCTTTCATTAATCTGGTATGATTAAGGAATTCCTCAATATGAACAAAATGAGCGATCGATAGGGATGCAAATTACCACAAGCAAACGTTCAATGGACTAAAATTTCAGACATAGTCAATCATTCTCATCAATTTTCTTGATATGGAACTGAGTTACACATGATTCAAGCCCACACACTTTTTCTTCTTACAATGAATTTTGTTTATGTAAGTGAATAAGTACAAGATGGCTGTATCTGGTAGAAGTTTAACAGGATTACGCAGCACAACAACACAGAAGACAGCCATCTTCAAACTCACCATCGTGAAAACCTCAAATCCTATGAGGTACAACAAATTTCAAAATTATAGATTTGAAGGAGAGTTCCTTAAGGGATAATGGAAACATCATCATTTATGGATTTAAAACTGGGATCCTCTTACACACATTTGGATTACAATGGCCTTCTAGAACAGACTCTCCATGTTCTAAAACAACCAAGCTATTCTGAATTTTTAGAGATGGAAAATATTTAGTATCAGACACATACTTCACCATCTGTGATTGGAGTTTGGCCGTGAAGTCGTATTCCTTAGCAATAGCTAGTAAATCAATCAAGAAATGAACATCATGAATCTTCTTGATTGCTGTTTCATAAATAACCTCAGCCAAACGGCCTTCCAAAACCTAATGGAAAAAATATTAAAAATAATTCAATATAACACAAAAGAAATTATAATAATCCTTCTTGAAAACTAACACCATGCTTACATGACTCATCCCTGAGAGGACATCACTGAATTCAATTAACATGAAAACTTAAAATCTTATACAGCGAGTCCTTGATATCCATCATTAACTGATTCCTTAAACATGAAACAGGTAAGAAAATTATGGATACAGAGCAATAATTCAATCTAGGGAAGGCATAAACTGGAGCAGTGAACTCATTTTTCTGGTAATAATTACCAATAAATACTAGCCTTGACACTGCAGAAAATCATTCTAGCCTTCTGCCTTCACAAAGTGGAACACTAAGGCTGGGGACACACGACCGTACAAAGTACGTCCGTTGTAATGCACATCGTGACATCCGTCATAGAATTATGAAGGGGCATATTACGTGCTCCGTCATAGAATTATGAAGGGGCATATCACGTGCTTTGTGTGTTGTACCCTATACGCCCCTTCATAATTCTATGACGGACGTCACGATGTGCGATACAACGGAACACAACATATAGTAGTTGAACAAACACGATCACCTTTCATACAGAAAAAGTCTTCTGCACTTTGTTACATACCTGATCTGAAACCGATTCTGTTTCTTGCTGTTCGCCATCTGTTTGTCCTGATATCCCTTGACTTTCCTTTCTTGAAGGGGCACTGGTACTGCTTCCCTCACCCACTGCATTCTTCTTCTCTTCTGCCTCCTGTTTTTCACGTCGCTGCTTCTGCTTCATGGCTGCGTATTGCAGTTCCAAACGAAATGCCTGTAACATGAGAAGTTGGGCTCATGATGAATAATAAATATTTGTGATTTATTTATAGACACTATCTTTACCTCAGACAATATAGCATTAAATGATATATGAATAATGAACTTTAAAGGATATTGAAGTGGCTGAGCCTTAATTTATTATTCCAGCATTTGCCTAGAGCAGGACTTCTCAACCTTTTCTGCTGGCATACCACAATTCTAATTTAACACATTAAATGTACCACTAACCAAATGCTTCCAGGAAAACTTATTTATGTTAATATTATCTTCTGACACTTTAATTAAATAATGACAATTTCTTCAGAACATTCTTACCATTAATAAAATTGTTACTCTTTGTGCTTGTAAAATCATAACCAACAACATTCACACAAGATGTTACATATTAGCAATTAAGTGAAAAATAAGCTTATCAATGACATACCTCAGTATAGAGCATTCTGGATTCAGGATGGAAGCGCAGACCACGCAGAAGGAACTGACGAGCATTTTCAACTGAGTGACTCTCTTCAAATTCCCAGTTGGCAGCAAAGCACCATAAGTTTGGTTTGTCACTATGCACCTGCAGCATCTGCACTAGCGTGCGACTCACATAGCTGTAGAAGCGCTGACATGAATACATACAGTATATAAATTTTAAATTATATACACATATAAAGTCACAGATGATAAGCTGTCGATAAGGTGATAACAATCTTAATGAAACTAATGTTATAAGGAACAGAAACAAGCGATACAGTTTGATTTAAAATACAGTTTCTAATTACAAGCAGTGCACCTCAAGATGATTTTGTGGCATAAAAATTAACACCTGTATGTAATTTTGTAACTAATGAAACATAATATCACAAAACTGAACATTCACAATCAACAATTATGCACAAATGCATTTAAAAAATGCAATATACCAACAATTTTCCATCAATATATATATATATTTGCACCACCTACCTCTATTCTTGTCAGACATTTTAGTTCTAAAAAGGTAAATTTTGCAGCTATAGTATAATATAAATAACACTAACTAGAATTTGTAAACCAGTATAAATAAATCCATACAGTACCATGTAATAAATATTGCTCAAGCAACACATATCAACAAAATTGCAAAGAACAGAGGAAATTAAAACTATAGAAAAGTGATATAAAAAATTTAGTTCTCAGAACCCACAGAGAATTTTAATTACATGAACATCAGCACATACACTTACCATCTGCTTACAGAATTTAATATAAGTAATCCACAATGTAACATCATCTTTGAATCTCTGAATAGCCTGTTTGAATAGTCTGTTGACTCTATTTGCTATTACATATTCAATATCAGCCTTCTTCTGAGTCACACCAATTTTCTGTAAATAAAGAGGGAAGGACAGTAAAACAAAACTGAACTTACTACCAACTCACAACACAGAATACGTTCACTCCACATTCAATTTAGCTAACATGACTTCATCACATTTTAATACTATAAGAGAAGACCAAAACTATGGTTATTTGCCTGTGACAGCAGTTAAAACAAGTGTGAGCAAAGAAAACATTACAGCCCATACATGTCTGTGGTGCTTTCCCTCCGAGGTAGACAACCTGCATGACTGGAGTTATCACTGCACAACAATGAAAGCCTAGCGCTATTGTTAATACTACTGTTCTATTGTTATTCCTTGGCCTTGCCTTTGTCAGGCTGGACAAACATTTTCCTCCACCAACTCTGATCAGATCATCTAGAGACCCCTATCACTGGGACTCTCCCCCAGGGGCTTCATCAGCCACGGGGCTAGGCCACTTCTGGGGACATCCTCCAGATACTCAACCATTGCCTAGTCCCAAATGGGAACTCCTGGGGCTTTGGCACACAGGCCCCTCCCCACAATGCTTCCTTGGGGGCTGGCAACCAGCAACTGTTGCCCCAAGGAATTTGACCTAAGGACCACCTCTCCCCTGCCTTGACCACCAGACCTGGATATCCCTGTGCTTCCACCAGATTGGCTGCAATGTCAGTGCAAGAATGACCTAAGGTCATTGTTAGAGTATGCTGTTAGACAACAATGACTTTTGATATTACTACAAAGCAACCTATCTGATGTGGCATGAAGGACACCTTTCAAGTATCAGTGTATTCCAATATTTTTTGTTGCTATCTCTAATGTCTCCTGTTGAGGTTTTTCTGAGTTTCCTCACCTCTGTGTACTTGGTTTGGGTGGAGGAATCTATTTCTGAAGTAGGAGTATCTACCAACACAGCAAGAACACATTATCTCTCCACCCATCTGTCCAGTTGATTAAACTTGAGAACCACTAGACAGATTTCGATGATTTTGATGTGGAGGTTGTGATATTCAAAATTGTACTTTTGAATATCCTACAAGCGGTGATAATAAAATGACAGATGAGGAAAGTCATGCGGTAGATACTGAGGTGCTGTGATCTGGTGGCCAAAGTTGGAACTAACAAGATCAATTTAATAACTCTAAATGTATGCTGCAAATAATGCATGATTACATTATTATATAGGATTTTGAGTGTATTCTGGTATGTAACACACTTTCCAAGCTTGCTGACAACAGGGCATGATTATAACGATGACAATAACATCAACCTGAACTGGAATCTGAAACATGACATGAGCAGTCACATGCAATTTGAGGCTGATATTTTTCACATTCACTAAGGTTTGACTTTTCGAAAATGGTGGATGTGGAAGGCAAGCAAATAAATTCACACCAGACCTAGCTGGTGTCAAAACATTAACCTCTGGCAAAATAAGCCACTTTCTCACCACTGGAGCTCTGGGTTATCCAGACAAAATATGACTTATTAAATTTATATTTTAACGAATGTTAAATTCTATGTACTGTCCTAATTATCATTTATATAATTAATGATCATATCTAACTTCTGTAGCACTGCAACTGTTTAAAAGAACTTACCTCTCTGCGAAGTTTTGTTAGTTCAAGAAGATACATTTCATACTGTATATATCTAAGATGGTCTTCTTTACATTTTGTACGCCGCTGAATCTTGTACTCAAATTCTTTCCTCTTCTTTACAATTGTTCTAAAAACAGAAATATTAACAGAAAGAGGGAAACTGCAACCACATTTTTTTAAATATTTTACTGCCATGCATTAACTTGATTTTTCTGTGTGGGATGGTTTCATTTCCAAGTCACTTGCAATAACAGCATAAAAGCAAGGATCTAACAAGTACTATGTACCTATCAGTTAAAAACTGCTTTCCATGCCCAAAACAAACGTTGCTGAAGAGTTGGTAATGCTGAGAAGCAAATAAAATTTACTCGATGTACCAAAATCTAACGAAACTTAATCACGCCCATTCAACGCTGCTGGAAGGTCGCTGCATACAGTGGATTTCGAAGCACGCGGTATAAATTGGAATATTTTCATACCTTACTTCATGCTTTTCGAACAGACCAATTTGTCCCATCTGTTCCAACTCCGGAATCATTCCTTCAGCGCGGTATTCCACAAATTCCGCCATTGTGATATAATATTATATATGTGAGGCCGCAACAAACACGCAGTATATCATATACTGTATTTCCCTTGCACTTCCCAAACCCACTATTATTGCCAATTTTCTTCGCACCTTAACCACACACTTATCTATAATCCACTAGCACATTCTCTGAAACGAACACAGATGACTAACACAGTCCAAAGAAGGTACACTACGAACATCTAACAGCTACACCAGTTATCTGTGAAGGAAAAACCGATTTCCAAGTTCAGTTTTTCTCCATCCAACATATACAATTTTCAACCACAGGTAACCCATCTACCTATTGAAGATTGACCTCAACAATTATCCATATAATCAAGTATTACGCGGGAATACTCAATGTTAAATAGTGGAATCCCTACAAATGCATTACACTTTCTTTCCCATAGAGATATAAGAAATAAAAACACTGACTTATTTCATAAATATTTACCTCTACCTTTATTGATCACAAAATGTTTCCATATTTACAAAGACTGCTTTGCTGAATCTGCTAATCTATCAGTTAATTAGATACAATGCAACAACTAATAGTCCATAGTTCATAAAAAGATTTGTTTCCTTGATATACAATACAATAACTTAGGTCAGTTTGTAAACTTCTTACTATGTACAAAACACTATTGAACCACTGTTTACAAAAAAAAACAGCTAAATTGTTATTATTTCCCACCTTACCACATAGTTTCATAAGAACTGAAAATGAAGAAAAATTTATGTACAAAAGCAATATCTACAAAGTAGGTTGTCATTTCCTTCTTATATACTGAATTACTCAGAGCCTACTTCTTGTTTTTTAAGATCTACAGTACAGATTGGAATATATAACACACCATGAATACACAAAGGGTTTCGTTTTGATTTCAGATTGTAGAGAAGTTAAACAGAATGAGAACTGAGATGATGCATCACTTTTTTATTGAAGAATTTCATCCTTCATCTGTTAATACAATCTGAATCAGTCATGCAATGTACACTTCACTGTTCTTATATTAAATGTAACCGAGTAATATTTGAGGTTTTCATGGTGTTGATTCCAAAGATGGCTGTCTTCTGGGTTGCACAAGACTACATGGCGTTACAACCCAGAAGACAGCCACCTTCAAATTTAACCAAGTATTTAATACCTTCCTCCTCTTCTGCTAATACCTCATGTAATTAATAAACCAATATATAACTAGAAATGTACCTTATGGACATGTATGCTTATACTGTTTGTTCTCTGACTTGGCAAAACTCATGCACTCAAGGTACATGAGACTGTAATTTCCTCTCAACAAAATTACTCTATAAATGCTACAACATTAACTTAGAGATTCCCAGCGGTACATACGTTTTGGTGAAAAACTGTGCCATGTATATGAATTTTTGCCATAGCAAGCTAAGAAAAAATAATGCAATCATATCATAAACAACTACATGTAATTGCCTAATCTGTGAACCTGTCATGTAAGAAGAAAGGTGTAAATTCTACATCCACCTGTTCAATAAGCCATTAAAACAATGAAAACTGGACAATCCATGCCAGAATTATGTAACTTATTTACAAGACAAAGTTAGTATGAACAAAAAATACAGTACATAAAATCAGTATTTAGTCTCCTTTTTTAATAAAGTATATCACTCCATTATGCCCTGACAGGGTCTTGTACATAACACATTTGCATAAACAACTTGAGTAGTGACTGGGTCCACTCCCTTATGTTTAGCCAGCCAATGACTTATTTAAACAGACTTCTAAACCTCACATTTCCTACAACCTCCATAATTACTGCATTCTTCAGCAAAATATGTAAATAATGAAAATCAGGTTGTTATAAAGACACAATAACATCACTGACTGGTACCATGTTCCACACTTCTACCAAAGCAGCAATCCCTGTACCAGAGACTTACAAATAATGTGTTTCATGAAGTAATCTCAATAAACTTTCCTAAGTCCATACAGAAACCACATCCATCCCTCAATAAAAAAAGAATATTTTCATGAAACTTGGTAGAAACATAAAACCACTAAAGCCAGTTGTGACAACATTGACATTTTTAATGATGACATGTTTGAAAAATATGCCATTATTGGCACTGTTTGATGGCAATTACTGACAAACCACATTAGCTTAGGAAATTTGGTATGGTGCTTACAAATTAAACTACTAAGTGTACAAAAAATATTATTTTGTGATGAAAATTAGAGATTTAGTAACTAGTCTCAGGTTGTGTGTAACAAATTTCAGGCACTGGAAATTTACATAAAAGGAAATTTTGCCCAGAAATTACAATTTGTATTATTAGCAAGAGTAGAAAAGTGTACTCCAATGCACTGTTTGTTTTTCTGCACACCTCAATGGCTTTCAGATTCATTTACTGCAGCTAAAACAATATTACTGCAAATACAGGTACTTTACAGTGTTAGAATTTATTTTTGTTTGTATTTTATTCAATATTCACTATACTGAAAAATGTTTCAAAAAGAAGCTTTGTAGGTAATGATATATGTAGTGCATATAATAAGTGTCATTAATCAGTTCTGTACAACTAGCAATGTTTGTGCAAATTCATGAAACTATTTCAGCTACATGTCAAGCATTAATTACAACAGTGAGATTTCAGGTTTTCATAGAAACAAGTATGAACATGACTGTCTTCTGGGATGTCTGGTAGAAACTGACTGATGTTTCAAAGATGCTTACTGAGCTCTGATGATGAAGGCAGTAAGCATCTCTCAAATATTAGTCAATTGTTACCAGACTACACCTTCAGTAATCATAATGGTTTGATACAGATTTAAATCAAATTCACTTGGCAACTTTTAATGTAGGTTCCCAATACCAAATGTCATGAACGCCCATTCAGTGATCTTAAAACCTTGAATACCGTGCAGTGTTGAATATTTATCTCATGAGGTCAAAACACGTTTGACACAAACTGTTTTTTCAAAGTGTTAACAGTCTCATTTATATGCATGATTTATATATTTTAGATAAATGCCTATTCAGTGGTTTTGGAGACAAAACATGGACCAAATGGGTGGATGGACAGAACATTCCTTTTGGGTATTCAATCATGCACTTCATGTAAAGAATGCATAATAATTTATAAGATATACTGGTTCCTCTGACATTTTGGTTTCCTGTCAATTACACAAAAGTTATTTTATTATTTCCCCAACAAATCCTATGTAGAACTTACATTTCACGGAACATTCATACAAAAACATGCCACACTATAGTGTATGAAAATATTTGCCCCATAAGAACGCAGCTATATCAAAACAAAATATTACACATAATGGATAACACCATCCATGATGAACTAAAATCTGTGTGTGTGTGTGTTTTTTACAAATTCTTATTATGAAAGATACGATATTGGATTTTCCTAACATATGAATAAGCAGTTTGTTACAGAATTGTGGCACACCTGAGACCTTGCAGTGGCACACCAGTTGCAGAATACTAGTGTAAGATCAGATTTTAGGGGCAAGCCACATTATTTGTAGACGTTCTTCCAATGTTTCAGCAAACACTACAACTGCCATCTTCAGGGTAAATGTCAAGGATAGGAAAAAAGCAATATACAGAAGTCTCAGAAAAGGGGCATGGGGGAAAAATTAAACGGTTGTTAACCTGTGTTCTTCCCTTAATGTGAGAGACCAGGTTTCACATTCATATATAATAAAATTATCCGAGTATATAATAATTTTGCCCTGCATTATGGTGATGAGACATTAACACGCGCTTAGATTTCTCAATGTTTACTTCCAGACTAACATCCTTCCTAACATATAATATAGTTTCTGCATTTTTCTCTGTTATTTACATTTTCATCCAATAAATTAACATCATCATCAGCAGTTCCTCTGGACACATCCATTTTACTATTCATGAACATCTGGTCCTTACCGACTTGTGCACAACTTCAGAAGTTGCCACGATGGACTAACACTACCATTTTCTGTATACATATGAAATGTTATGGTTTTTATGTTTATGTCATGTCAACGAAAGTGAAAATGAAGTTATTCTTACATTCATTACCCGCTCAGTTTTCCAACTGAAAGAAATCTGAGTTATACATATGCACATGTGACAGATGGAAAATTTAGTCTATTTTCAGCACCATACAGAAAGATTAAAAAAGTTATATTTTTAATACATACATAAATCTTTCTCTTCTTAATTTTAAAGCACCCTTCCTGCCCAAATGTTTTTCAAAATAAACTGCTGTATTACGTTACACAATTTCCAAATCTCCCTGAAAATCTCTACTGATGTAAGTCACCCTGCAATACAGATTCAAAGTCAGAACCTACTTGGTTTTGAGCTACCATACTTTATCTTATTATTTGTTCAGGAAATCAATCCCATAGTTCAACTCTGTCACATTTATCACTATTATGGTACAAAAAGCTTACAGTGACAGTGATGTTACTGCAATAAAATAATTACTATAAGTAAACCTGATATTTTGGAAAATAAATTAGGAATATGCAAATATTTGATTTTCCCAAGTATGATTTGTAGCTGTCTTCTGTCTGAATATGATGACTTTTCAAAATCAAACTATAAAACAAGCACATTACATAAAATTTATACTTTGACTCTTTAATTTCTACTGCACAAATACCAAATATATACATATGTACGTTTATGTTCTTATATTTGTACATAAATATTTTTTTAAAGTTATGGTACTAAGAATAATAACTTGTATCACTGTTTGAAACTAAAATGTTTGCTACCTGCAATATTTAATGTAACATTAAAAGTTTTATAACTACTTTAACAAATAACTCAAACTTTGTTGCATTTTAACATTTGCATATCCCTAATATCAACAGATCATTTAGTTTATATCTTAATTGCGTCATGTTTGTGTTTTATTGATACAATATTTTTATTTTCCGTCTATACACAAACTTAAAATAATGTTGTTTAAAATTATCTAAAATTATAACATTCTCAGTAGACACTGCATC